CCCGCGGCGCGCGACTCACCTCGCTCAGGTAGACGCGATCCCGCCTGGCCCACTTTCCTCTTTCCCCCGCGGCGCCTCTCGGGAAATGTAGTTTGAAGTGGGACTCCATGCTGAGAGGACTAGGCCGCGGAGACTACAAGAACCAGAGATCCGCCCGGGCGGGGAGGCCATCTTGAGGTTGCTAGGAGACGGAGACGCCCCTAGTGCAGGCAAAGGGATCAGGTGAGAGAGAGAAGGGGGGTTTACTGAGGGGGGGGGAGGATCTATGTGCAATGTGTAAATGCCCCGTAAATGCACTTCAGCTGCAATATGCAGTGCATGGTTTAATGTAAAAGCTGGGCCTCTAGAATCTATGCAAAGCTTCACTTGAAAAGTATTGCGTCTGTGGTACAGCCAAAAGCATGCAGTGATCGATATGCATGCACGCCTGTCATCATTATCCTAGACATGATGCGACTCCAGTCCCACGCAGCCGCTCACCAAGACTGTGCAAGATAATAAGGCCATATGCATTCTGCCCTCCCCGTGCACGAAAGAACGGGGCGCGATAGGCTGTAATTGTGGAGCAGGCAATTATATTCCCTTTAAAGAAGATGAACCGTACTCCAAATTTGCAACGATTCGCTCCTCATCAGAAAGTACGGAATGGTTTTATTCCAGGCCCCACCAATTTCGTTCTTTCCTGAAAGGCGGGGTAGGTTTGGGGCTGAGGCGAGGCAGGAGATGCGACAGGGTTCGGATTCCTTAGGCCGCATCGCGCCGTCGATGAATCTTATGTCAAACGGGCAGCCCCCAAAACCAAAGAAATGAACAAATAGGAATAAAATCAGGCTGGTTAGAAACTCGGGGGGTTATAAGACCTCACATGTGTGGCTGACATTCATATGGAAATGTTTTCGGCAGCTGTTCATCTAAGCGAGGCCTAGGCGGGCAACAGGCAGCGTTTGCCAGCTTCTAGGGTTTGACCCGCAAGGTGCCACGACAAAGCAGGCCTTGACTCTGCTGGAGGGGGTCAAAAAAGTCACAAGGGTAGCCACGGTCGCACGATCAGAACCCTGTCTCTTTTTAGGGGTGTCGCGGCTAAAAGGCGAAGAGCGTTCCTCACACAGTCATGGCCGTCCTCTTGACTTTTTTGACCCACCCTGCCTGTAGATATGGCCTTCTACAACATCTGAGTGGTGGTGAAATCCTAATGATTTTTGCAGCAATTATGAAACTTAAACAGCAGCTCTGTGCAGAGGCTTGGTCTCCCCCAAACCCTTTGCCCTTGCCAGCTGAAGGTTGGACAGACAAATGTTATCCAACTCGTGCCTTTGGCCGCCCCCCAAATGCAAAAGGTTGGGAAGATTTGCCCAAAGGGGCATCTTGATGTGAAATTCTCCCGTCCCCGTTTGCTATCCCTGCAGAATTCAAGGCGGCTTTGATTCGATCCGTTGGTCTACTGGAGTGGAGACGGTGGGACAGGAAGGCAACGAAGAGATCAGGGTAATTCTTATTTTTAGGGATTATTCCCACAAGACAAGGCACAGCAAAAAAAGTTGGAGATATCTGTCCCTTAGCCTACTGCTTTTCTTTGTGGAGCCAGACATTTTCAGGGTTTGCTTTGGACACAGAGGGAGCAGAAGGTGGAGTCTTGGAGGAGATCTCAGAGGACCAAGGCCTCCACAGCCTCAAACAGATGACCCCTTAAAAATTAAGACCTCTCCCATGCAAAGTCTTGTATAATCCATAGATTATTATAAAAACTTCCTATTTTTTGAACCAGAGACATACACACAGCCTCCTGGAAAACTTGTATTGCCATCCACCAGTGGCTTGGAATCAAACAGCTGGTGCCATCAGAGACAAGGTTTCCAGCGCTCTTGTTTTTAATCTGTATGTTTGAAATCTCCTTAGCCAAGCAAGGAAGACATCTGTTTTCTGACTGGGTGGGTATATCGCTGCTAGTCTTCAAGTAATGGGGGGTCAGCCTCCTGCATGACATATCATTAGACTACAGCTCTTTTGGGGGGCATCGATGAGCCTGTGAATCCTAGTTGGAGAGAGACACCGCCTTTGCAATCTTGCATTTGCAAAATTTCTATTGCCGATGACTTCTTCACAGCCGCCAGACCTCCCCCCTCCCAATGTGGTTTCTTCCAAATCAAAAGATGGCCACAAATACCCCTAGATGGACTTTCAGATGGACTTTCAGTTGAAGGCCGGGGAAATTCAACCTCTGACTCTGCCCCCAATTGGGTGGCCCCGCCTGTCCTGTTTTGGCTCCTCCTATAACTTCTCAGGCTCCTCCCTCCCCTATTAACTTCAATTCTTGCTTGCTCACTGGACCAATACAAATGTATATTATATAAATAAATGTATGCATGCATTGGGCTTAGATCCTGCCTTATCTTTAAGTGTTCAAGGTTGTGACTCTTGATTTTACCATCACAACACTCCTGTGAGGTCGTGTGGGTGGCGGGATAGTAACTGGTCCAAAGTCTCCACGGCAGAGGGTGTCCCTGAACCCGGCTCTCCGCACTCACAACTACACCAAACAACTTTGAAATTTGGAACTCTCTGGAAGTTGACCAGCTCAACATTTTGTAGAGAGAAAGACCAAAAATTATACATATCGGAGCAAGGAACAAAACCTCTACAAAAATCAGAACATTGCAAAGAGCAGGATTTGCTTAATGTTCTGTTACATCGGCCATTGGCAAAACAAATTGAAACGTACTCCATTGGCGGAGAAAAAGTGCACAGTGGAAACGTTTGAGTTTTATTGAGTTTTAAGCGCTCTCCATGCGTAAAGGGGCTGGAGATGCTTTGAAATAACAAAAGCAAAACTCCACAGAAATAGTGGCTTGGAATTTGAAGAGACCCAAAGTCGTCTAAACTTAAAGTCCCTTTCCCCCACTTCTGCCTGCCCCACGGTTTTACTGTGTAATATTTGTGCCTGGCTATGTAGTTTAGGATTTTCAAAACACCATTCAGTTCTCCAGAGAATACACCACGGCCGTTTTCCAGGTATTTTAATAAACTAGTCTATTGCTCTTGTGCTCGACTGAGTGAAATTTTAATTATCTGTGTAATGAGGCCCAAACTGATTTAAGTGTTTTTCTGCCTGGTTTAAAAAAACAAAAAAGTAGTAGTTTATTCCATTAACTTGAGCAGTGAACTTCTGTCCTGATCATTTCAGCCGCAATTAAACTACTATATTGCTGTTGCTTTCCAAAGGTCCTCCCCACACGCACCCCACCCCAAACTCACACATTTTGTGTTCTGAACAGCAGTAGTAAAGCCTAGATGTCAGTCATTGCCCAAATGTATCAGCAAAATTGTCCAGTCTTCTAAAACAATATTGTCCACAAGGTCAAGAACAAAGCAGGTATTTGATAAAGAACATGCAGGTATTTGATAAAACCAGGAAAAGCAGATGAGCAGTTAAGGTTAGACTCCCAAATTTGTTATTATGTTTTTTTGGTGATTCACAAAAAACATCTGTTTTGCAGCCATCACTAAGAAGTCCCTGTTTCTTGAACACTTCAAACTGATCTGGCTCAACAGCTGCTGCACAAGGGAATGTTAACATACTTCAAAACTATATGGTGAAATTATAAGGTTTTTTGAATAACCTGGATCCAAACTGTTTAGTGTTTACGGGGGAAGAATCGTGGTGTTTCCAACCTGTGAACATTGGATCTTTTTTTGCAGAGCACCGTTTGGAAGCAGCATGGAACAGGAGAGGAAAAGAAATTTCTGTGCCTTTACTGTGTATTTTGGAGGGGACAATGATGAAGAGAAGGCTCAGAGGGAAGAAACTGAGTCCATGCAGGCAGCCTTTGAAAAATTCAGAAGACAGCGACAGGTAAGGCTGATTGATTTGAGCAGAAGAACTTTGTTTAGTTCCTATGAAAAATGACCTGATTTTGCATTTGTTAACAAATACATTTAGGCCCCTATAAAAGGCCCCTTTTATAACCAGGTGTACAGCTGTAAAAAAAATCATATGAACGTTTGTAAAAGTAATAGACAAAAATGCATTCCATCTGAAGAAGGCGTGTGCAAAAATGGTGTTAGGTTCTGCAGGAACTGTTCACGGAAGTGTGTACGTTGGGGAAAACAGGCACAGAAGTGGATAAAAATGTGCAAGTGTGAACTTGGAAACAACCTGTTCAGGCCATGAGGGGAATGGGGCCGACTAAATTCAGGAGTGAGAAAAATGAGAAACTGAAACTGACCAATCCGAGGCGGGGAAGTGAAATTGGCAAATCTGTCAAACTTGGAGATGTAGATCTTTGCAAATGCGTAAAAGGAAGAAGCGGAGATGTGAGTAAATTTGAAAATTGCTAGCCTGGTATACACATTGAGCATCTGAAGTGTGAACGTTAATTCTTGTTAATAATCAAGTCAGACCCGTTGAAACTGTCTGGAAAAGCCAACGAACCTCTAACTGTTAATATGAGCAGAGAAAGGGAATTTATTCGGTTTTGTAGGATACATTCTTGACTGTCTGTGGCCCAGTCAGATTATACATTTTGCCTTATTCATTCTTTGTAGCCAGAGTGAAGAATAACCCTCTAATTTTTCCTGCTCTTCCCCTTTCATTCAACGCACTTGGTTTATTATCTTGCATTGGTCGGATTCAAGATGTAATATTTGTGCATTTCCTTTTTACACCAATTTGAGTTTGGCTGCATTGCGGGAGAGGGGATGGAAACAGACATTATATTAAACAGGATATAAACCATCAGTGTTGCTTTCGTCAGAAGTGACTGTTCCTACAAGGGTGGAGGGTTTATTTATTTATTTAGCATGGCGATTCTTAGTGCTTGAACGTTGCTTAACTGTTAACTAAGGTCTGGAAAGCGGCCCCGCATTTAAGTTGATCGTAACTTCCAAAAGCATGCTTTCCTTGGTTGCAAATAAAAATTAAACATTCAAACAGGTTGATCTCGAGACCCACAGTTAATGTACACACTGGGCCAGATTTGCAAAGGCCGACATGTGGAAATACCTAATTTATTCCATTGGAGAACAGGCTGACTATTCTCTTACGTTATGCTAACATCTGCTGCATTTTAAAAACCCAGGCAAGCTACTTTTTCCATTTATATTTAAAGAAAGCAGGTTTTAATTTGTCTTTGATGTCTCTCAGGAGGAGAAACCCTCGTCTCGGTGCTGAAAATTCCACTCGATACACAGAAATGCTAGGTGTTATTAAAATTAATGATTGTTTTCCTTCTGATAGATTTACATCACCCGCTTGCCGATTCAAGATCTAACCACAGCATTGTATCGGCTCAGGGTTGTACGTTTGGATTTGACTGTGTGTCTTGGCAACTGCCTCAACTTCCATTAAGTTCATGCCTTCATTAGCACTTCCTTTGGGGAGTTTAAGTTGGTTGGTTTGTTTTTAAATAGATTTAATAATTTAACCATTTCTACTGAGACCACCTTTCCAGAGCTGTTGTCGCTGGATGTGCAGAACAGACGCTGCATGTAATGAAAAGGGAGAAATGTGTTAGGGAAAGATTTAAAAAGCCTGGGTGGCGTGGATTTTTCAGCAGGAGGAGAAACCGCGCAGTGGGAGAATTTGCAGGCTCAGGAGAACACACAAGCTCTGAATTAAGGAAGAGAAAATGGCCCTGGGAGGTTTAGGATTAGGGGTGTGCATTGTTTCGAGGTCAAAATGGGGCGCCCTGATCTCGCCCCAAGAGTTCTAGCGATCCCAGAAGTATTTCGTGTTTGAATCAGGCGCTTCAAGTTAAAATGGGGCCCTTCTGAGCCCAGAACGCTTCTGCTAAGCTCAGAACGGCTGTTTCGAACTCAGAACAAGGTGCTTCCAGCCCGATACAGAGCCTATCGAACACAAGACGGAGTGCTTTGACCTCGAGACGTTTGAAATTTGAAATGTTTTGCATCCTGCTCGTCGCAAGCAGGGGGCAGGACATCCAAAACCATGATGGCGAACATTGTAAATGGGAAATGGGAGAAGGTGAAGCCCCAAAGAGAGTTCCAGTTTTAAGCATTTCCTGTCGCTGTTCTCTTCCCGGATCCTTGTCTCTGCGAGCATCACCCCTGAGCATGTACAGAAAGGCAGGCAGAGCTGTGGCATTCGGCATAGGCTTGCTCATGAACATCTTGGGTGTATTTTCCTATTGGGCTCATAAGAAGCTGCCAGTTTTACAACACGGGGTTTTCCTTTGAATTTGTTGCTTTTATCATGTCTCTCTCGGGAATCCGAGGAGATACCAAAACATCCTTTCCAGGTTGGGGTTAATTGCTTGGGGGGCAGCAACTGGTCACAAAACAGCAGCCTTCTCTTGTGAGCACCCGAGGGTCTCTCCACTACCGGTGGGTGTAGCTGGGCAATAGCATCGCCTGTTCCATTGAGCAAGGCCAAAGAGAGTGGCGTCTTTGCAGGCCAAAACGTCTGAGAAATCACCCTAAGATCACAGTCCTGATCCAAAGGCCTATGTGGATTTCAGATCCCAGCCAAAGATTGCCGTTTTCAAAGTAAATCTGCTCTGGGCTTTATGGTCCAAAACAGCGGTATCTCTTCCACCATTGTTAGGCAACATGGCCAGTTTGCTCCATCTCATTGTAAAGTCCAGGCCACTGATTAGGAATTTGTGATCCCCTCTCCTCCTCCTCCTCCTCTGCAGATTGAATGCTTGGGGAAGCATTTCTTCCGCTCACCTCCTGATGCAGCTTCGCCCTTCCTGAATCCCCAAGCAAAGTGGAATAGAGCAGGATATCAGATTCTGGGCTTCTGTAAGCTTTGCCCTGCAACTGGCCACCTGGCTGAATAATTAAGGAAAACAGGGATGGCTGCCGACATGGTCAGCGGGAATGCTAGTGAAGGCTGCTTGCAGAAAACGCAGCTGCGTGTACCAAAATGTGCCCACCGAGACAATGAAGTTTGCTGCTCCCCGATGCAGAGAGGCCCACCAACTTAGATGGTTGGAAGAGGAATCTGGACAGATTTGGGGTTCAGATACACACAGTGATACAGAGAATTTTAAAGACTAATATTCAACTGAAACCAGAACTTTTCTGGCTGGGACTAATGGACAGATAATGAGAAGAGACTTGCGGACAGCTGTTTTTGTACATGGAAGCTGCAGCGAGATTATTATACGCGCGAAGATGGAAAGGCTCTGAAATACCCACAATGGAGGAACAGTCGGTGAAGAGAACAGAATTTGCCGAGATGGCAAAATTGACTTGTTTGATTAGGGAAAAGTCAATAACTACATTTGTCAGTGACAGGAAACCCCGTATGGATTTTTTTTGCTGAAAACGGGAAAAAATGAACTTGTGATTTATACGTGTGATGATTAGAAAGGGTAGATTATGGAAAGAAGAAAATTACGATGTAACCTTAGAGAGGATAAAATATAAATGTATTTATAACTGCTGTAAAGAAGATCAGAAGCCACTTTTTAATATTTTTCTTCCCCCCCCTTTTTGTCTTTTTTCTTTCACTTCTTTTCTCTTATCACTTTACTTTCTTTTTTCTTTAAGTTTGTATTGTTTTTACTTTGCACAAAACTCCTTTAATCAAAATTGATTTTCAAAAAAGGGATCTGGACAGACTGATGGAGGAATCGGCGGCCTGCAGGAGGAAGTGTTCCTCCAGCCAGAAACTGACACAGAAGCAGGACAGAACTCAAACTTGCTTGGAAAAAAATGAGCAATGTCAGCAGGGGTTGGGCTCCAACTCTTCCCTCGCGCCAACTCTCCCTCTTAATTTCAATTTTACAAAAGGCTGTTTTCCCAGGAAGAAGCTGATGTGGCCGTTTCAGTAAACAGCTGAACCGCTGACCTTTACTAAAGAGCTTTTCAAGGCGACTTGGAAGCTCCACCAACTGGTTAAAATTTCTGGGTAGGAAATTCCAACACTCCAGCCCTTGGCCTCCCGGTTACTTTCCTTTTCCTTTTTCAACCTAAAAAGAATCTGCCCTAGAAATACTTGCCACAAGCTCGGGGGAGGCGAATTGGACGCTGGAGCAAGGAATAGGGTCTGTCTTGACCCATTGTAGGGAAAGGATGGGGCATTTGCTGTGTATCTTTTTTCCCCTCCATGTTTGATCCTTTTAAAAGCAAGGCGTATGGGAAACCTTACGCTTCTTTCGTGCTGTTTATGGCAATGCCACCGTGGTCCAACGGGGTAGGCTTTTTCATAAGATCCGCGCCTCTGAATGACATGGAAAAGACCAGGTGGAGAGTTGTGCTGGCGTCCCAGAATCAGACAGGTCCCCCGTGCCAACCTCCACCCCGACCCCGAGCTCCTGTCCCTCAGCAATGTCATTTAAAGAAGGGGAAAGGCGCTGCTGAAAAAAACCTTTTGGGGGGCTCGCTCCTCTTTTAAGCTCGTGTGGTTAGGAAATGATTGAACGGACCATTCGGTGTCCGAGCAGAGCCTTTTCTGCAACTCCGGTCCAGCTTTTTTGTCGTTTCCTCTTCCTTCCTCCCTTGGCTCCTGCTGCCAGGTGGATGGAGAGTTGACAGCAGGAAAGATTGGTGGCGCGAAGGGGCTTGTAGACAGCCTGGCTGCGGGAAGATGTCGCATAAACTTGAAATACGTGGACGGCCTGTCTGACGGTGAAAGCCGGCGGGCTGCGCCTTTGCTGTTTCCGCTGAATTCTCAATTACAGAAGCTGACAAGGCAGAAAGGCGTCAAGGAACGGGTGGGAGATCCTTCTGCGCACTGGAGACAGTTAAAGAGATGGTTTTGGGATGCCAAAGGCTGGCTGCGGTTCATCCTTTAGACACGAGCCTCCTGTTGACATATTAAGAGTTGTCTATCTGGAAAAATAAAGCACTGTGTTGCTCGCAGCGTGGAAGACCCCAAGATGCCCT